GATTTGTCCAAAAATGTTCCCTCTTTCTCTGTGTATGTTGTCACTGGCATTCTTTTATCAGTTTGTAAAATGCCCGCTGTGATAGACCGATTCTTGCATCTGCATGTGGTTTCCAAATCCTACCCGGTGATTTATTCCCTTCAATTTCTCTAATAGAATGTTTTCATTTAGCCTTTTTCTTTTCACCTGCTACTTACGGACCCAACAAGTCTACTTTTTCTTTTCTATCTCTTTCTAGCTTCTCTACGTCCTCTTGTAATCTGTGAGATGTTTTAACTCAACTGTCTTAATTGTTTAACTTCTGCTGCCTTTGCCTGTTCTTTATCTTGGGTCCACCATGAAAGTTGCACAAAAGCAGAGGTGGTTCTGCTGCAAGCCTTCTGACGAGGGAGTCCAAGAAGTGTATTATCCCTATTATTATCATACTTAAATGTTTTGCGCGTTCTCCAAGCCCTAACCTTGCTAGCTTTAGACATTAGGACTGAACATGGCATATGGTAGCTACTATGAACGGCTAAAACATTCCATTATATGTCCAACACTGCTGGCTGTGTCGACAACGCCAAATCACTAGTCGTATCTGCATCACCAGGTCTCATTGAAATTCTAGCTGGCCTACCGTCGCTTATACAGACAACATCTGCATCCACCATAGCCTCTGCTAAAGAATTGCCTTGCCAACCCCGCCCCCTGCCCCCGGCACACTCCCATATGTAGATAACGATGGAGGAACTGATAGAGATATTAAAATAGGAATACAAAAGGCAAGATGAGCTTTCATAGCACAAGGGAATTTGTGGAGGTCAAAACAAACTAAAAGAAATACTAAACTAAAAATGTTTAATTCTAATGTCAAATCAGTACTTTTGTATGGGGCGGAAACATGGAGAACAACTAAGACAATTACTAACAAATACAAACATTCATTAACTGGTGCCTGCGCAGAATAGAAGGAATAAAATGGTATGATATAATAACTAATGTAGAGCTTTGGGAGAGAACTAAACAGGCTCCGGTGGACCAAGAGGTGAGGAAAAGACGCTGGCGTTGGATAGGACCCACACTGAGAAAACAGGAGAACAGCATAACTAGAATGTCTTTGCATTGGAACCCACAAGATTATAGAAATAAAGGAAGGCCAAAGAATACATGGAGAAGAGAGCTGGAGAATGAAGTAAGAAAGATGGGGTGGACATATGGAGAGCCCCATCCAATGACGAAGGATAGAACGACTTGGCGTGAGTTGGTTGAGGGCCTATGCTCCATTGGGGGATAGAAAGGCAGAAGAAGAAGACACTTCCATATTCTGTTCCACGCACTGAAATCCTTACAAATAAGATGCCTATTACCAGGGATTTCCACCAACTCACTCCGACAGTCCCAACATTCACACGCCCATAAATACTTAGAATCAAACGTATACCAACACGCCTACACATACAAGGTCTGACCATGAAGTAAAATGGCTCAATTCCATAACAATTAGAATAAGGAACAGTTGAAGATATAACCTTCATTTTATTTAATGCACTCCTCTTGTACATTGATACAGCAAGTATCCCTATCTAACAAACACTGGAATGACCTCTTTAGTTCTTCTGTTGTTATGGACCTTAAAGTCGATTTTACGGTCCTTTGGATGTCATGAATATCGCTAAGGAAGCGTTCTTTTAATCGTAACTTTAATTTTGGGAATAGAAAATAATCACAGGAAGACAAATCTGGTAAGGCAACGAATGTGGTAACAAACCTTCAAGCAATTTTTTGCTTGCCAAAAAAACTTGCAATAAAATGTTATGTATGAATTGTCTCTCTGCCATCATCCTCACACTAAAACAATGATCTTCTTGCCTCCGTTCTCTTGTCTTTTTCAGTGAGTTCATCACTGCGAACATAAATTTGGCGTCCAGGTGTAGGTGCATTAGTAATGACTTCCACACCACTTTTGAATGGTAAATACCACCTAAAGATTTGAGCACGAGATAAACAATTATCCCCATAAACCTGTTGCATCAATTCAGCTCTTTCTGGGTCAAAAATAATAATTTAATGTAAGCGTTTTGCTCCCTGCTGATTACGTAACAATGCACCTCTAACTAGGTCAACAAAAAGGCGGCTTGTCAAGCGGGGATGAACAGTTGACAGATCATAGATGAATATATCCTTTTTAGATGATATTTTTGTCTTGGCCATAATAAAATCCGTCTCATTACTGAATTGTCGGAACTTGTCCATACATATCACGCATATACATGTCACACACACACTCTCTCTCTCTCTCACACACACGCACACATACATATCATATACACCTTATTTTTAAGAAATTTTGATAATGCAGTATGGATTTTTAACTACATTCAAAGCGGCATATAATCGCTTGTAAGCATGAACTGAAAAGGTTTGCGATATAATGAATAGGGAATTTTTCAGCTCCAGTGGAATTTGTTTCCAGAAATTAGCAGCGGAGTACACTAAACTTGTTTTATATGTTTTATATAAATCTATTCTAGATTTGGGCAAATGGAATAAATTAAGTAGTTTTCTGTTTGTAGGATCGGATTTATTCAACCGGAAAAGGTAGTTTGGAGTATTTTGAGATACAATATTATGAGTAAATTTAGCCTTGTTAAAAATTAAACGTTTCAAAAATTGCAATAATCTTGGATGGCTTACCATTTTTGTAAATCGATGTGTTTTCTTTCTGAAAAAAGGCACACAACACGGTTTTGAAGAAAATTTAGTCTTTTAACATTGGATTTGGAGCAACCATCCAAAACTGTGGCCTGCATTTGGATGTAAACTAGGTCTAAAAAGGTGCTGAATTTTGGCAACATCAAAATCTGTTCATGAATTTTAAAAAAACGAAAATGATGTGCACAGATAAAACCGGCTGTAACCATAAAAAAAATTGATGCTGAAGAAATTCAAAATGTCCCAAAACTTTGAATATCTAGGCTCTATATTAAACAGAAATGGAGACTGTTTGGCAGAAATTAAAAGGAGGATGGCCAAAGCAATAAAAAGATTGAACAGCGTTAAATTTGGTTAAGGAGATCAAAATTAGAATTTGAGAGCATGCATCTTCCCTGCGGCTACATACGGATGTGAGGCGTGGACTATTTCGCAGTCCTTAAGAAAGAGAATAGGGGCTTTTGAGTTGAATTGCTATAGAAAGATTCGCAGAATATCTTGGACAAAAAGAGGAGAAAAACTGACATCTTGAAAGATCTGAACATCAAGGAAGATGGCCAATAAACAGCATCCCGTCTCGGAATCTGAAATATTTTGGTCATATCAAGCGCTACGATGAATTGAAAAATTTATAACAGAAGGCATGGTACCAGGAAGGAGGGGCAGGGACTGACCGACCCGAAGATGGGCACAGGTTATAAGTGACTCTTTAAGTATGCAAGTTCATGAGGCGGGAGAACTGGCGAGAGACCGAGTTTCTTTCAGGCAGACTGTGATGAGAGCGACGTTTTGCAAAGGGCCTGCTACATGATGATAATCATGATTTTCTTAGTTGCGAGGATATTATTATGGTATGGGGCCTAAAATGTTTACCAGGATGGAAGTCCTGGGGAAGTCAAGACGGCTGGCGTAATGCTTACCACATTACCGACCTAGTGCCGACAGTCTGTAAAAATGTGTGCGCTCTTCCTATATATCTGATGCACTTAAAAGGAGTGAGAAGGGATCTTTACTGTTTATATGTTGTTTTTTTTTTCTTAGTTATGACACAAACATGAGAATTCCAAATTAAATGATTGTCACTTATAAGGCCCGATATGTTGTGCGCTTTTAAAATACCAGTAGATATTGTATCAACGTATAACTCAAATGGTGGCTTGTGCAATACTAATGTTTGCAACTTTTGTTTGGTTGTCATACGCATAGATTTAGTTTTATTTGATTTAATTTTTATGCGATTGCTTTTGCTTCATTTCCCCTCTCCAACTATCTCCATTGCCCACTGAAAATATTATCAAGCACACAAACCTCAGTCCGTAGCGGTGATTGTGTTTATGATTTTTAAGTACACAAAGCATAGAAACTATTACTTCAGAGCAGGAAATAAATGGTCACTCTGTTATTGCCTGCAGGCTTGGGAAGAGGCAGAGGGTGACCAGAGAGGTCCATACGCCTGACGTTGTTTCACCAGCTAACCAGGCGTTCCTCGTTTACGACTGTATATATCCCACAGCCATTCAGTCATTAGGCACGCACGTAGGTCTTCCGTAAGAGTAGCAGTGACCCCTTTTCACACTATAAATACAATTACTCATAGGGCTTGACCAAGCTTTCAAGAAGAAAAGTTGGTGGGCCCCACTGCACAAGAACTTCATCTACAGCCTCTCCTTATCCTTGGGCATTCCGTTGCAAAAGAATAATGGGTGGCCACATTCGTACATTGCTTAGATCGCTAAAAACAAGGAGGCAGGTCGCAAAAACACCGAACAGTTAATATTTCCACCGTATCTAACAAAGATATCAATTCCCTTGCTACATCCAGAGGTGGAACCCGTTACCGTCATGTGTTTGAACTGGTTAATGGTTTGTTTCAAGCGATGAAAACTACGTGATGGTCTGACTTGAAGTATTCAGGGTTACTAGCGCGGACATACCAGAAGCAGAACTCTCCAGGAACTTTCCAGAAAGACCTTGTCCAAATCCCGTTGAAAAAAAAAAAAAAAAAATGACAGAACAGTAAAGAAACCAAATGCAACACAAACATTAAATACAACAAACACGTCTCTATAGGTTTGCACGTTTGTCTATTGCTTTAATTTTGAGTATTAATTTCTTTGTTTTACGTGTTTATAACTGTGTATCAGAGACTGGTTGGCCTTTCTATTTCTGCTATTAGCTTCATTTTAAAAGCTGCACTGAGGAAATCAGAGCGATACCAAATAACTTCTCATTCTTCGTTTTGTTCTCCAGTCTGCTGCCCACAGATTTAGCAAACGAACTGTAACGGTGAATTCGACCAAAACTCATTACCTAAAGGGGAAATGTTTCTTCTTGGTTTCATTAGCCTCTGATTGTTCGATGAGTTTTTTGCCAATTTGTGCACGCGGCTGAGTGAGTACAGGGGTCATTTTCATCAACTGTTGCATCTGTTCGGTGCTGATGGTTTCTGGTCTATTTATACTGCTCACCAGGAAGCCGTTGGAGAAGAGTCTGAGAGTTGGTGTCTGTGTAACTTGATAGCGGTCACAGAGGTTGGGATCGCGAAAACAGTTTACAGCCCCAAAGCCGTAGCTTGGATGCATGGGTAAATCAGCGGCCTGACCAACGAAAAAAAAACAATGTACATTTAAAAAAGCAGCATACCATAAACAGGATGTATATTTATTGCACATAAAGGTTGCAGCGCTGAAAACAATGGTTAGTTGCGTATCCTTTTACATGACGCTGCAGAACCAACCCCAGCAGCCTCTGGCTGTTGTGTGGTTTCTCTATAGAGTTTACATCCAGTAGTTTGACATTGCTTTTATGAAAACAATGACTTGTTAAAAATTACCTAGAGACATCCTAGTGCACAGTCTGACAAGTTTATTGATAATCTATCAATCTTCTTTTACCCCACCAGGACATTACACAAGCGATGAACACCCGATGACGCAAAGTGCCACTATGTGGATGAGGATCACCCGTGGAGAGGTCCCGGAAACCGCGTTCAGCCATTAGACCATATTTATGGCCGGGTTATATTGCGGCCCGTGGCAAGAGCCAGAGTAGGGCTTCAAATAACGAAAAAGTGCATACCACAAAGAAATAACACAATATGATGATTATTGATAATCAAACCTGCTAAAATAACCAAAAGAGAGTTGGAACAAAGAATGCCATACATTTAAAAAAAAAAAAAACGAAGATGACTGTAGACATACATAACTTGGAAGGTTAAACTGCTCAACAATTGTTCATAATATAAGTAATTACAAACTTCATTAAAAATATCAGATGACACACAGAATGTAATTATTTATACAGACGGTTCAGTTTCAAAAGGCAAAAGAAGAACTCGGCGTCTCTTAGCAAAAGGTGGACGTTTGGTGCAGGAGAGCCTAGCATATGATATCCACTACATCCAATTTAAGAATGGAAGTGGAGGCGATCACTGCTTTAAAAGAGAGAGGGAAAAAAACTACAATAAGTTTGCCAGTTCTCCAAGAGATGCGAACCCTCAACCCATAGAAATTAGACTAAGCAATCAAAACCTTTGCTCATGTCTATGTGCGTGTGTGTGATCGATGTTATCTACTTCGTTTTCAGGACTAAGTATTATTTTTATAATACTGTGACCATTGTGATAACCTTTGAATTTGATTATATGTGGACTTCTTCTGGTACTATTTATAATGGTGGTTGGGCTGCAGTATTTATCTCTTGTTCTCATATTTTTTAACCCGTTTGTACAATTCTTTAGAAGAACTTTTACTAAAACTCAAACATAAACAAACATAAATAAATGGATTGAGTGGCTGGGTTAGGAAGCGGGCTGGAGGTGTTTCGGTTCAACTGCCCAGATTTTAACGCCAATGGTTCTATTTAGAATAATCGAACGATATGTGCCCCAAACTGAAATGTTTAAGTCTGGCAGCTCTAGGCATCATCATCATGTCCATGAGTGTTATCATCATCATCATCATCATCATCATCATCATCATCATCATCATAAACCGTCTCTGTCATCAAGCCACGTGATGAGGAATACTTTGCGATACCCGTGGCTTGCCACTGACTATTGTCATGCCGTGAAGGCGTAGAGTATTTAATATTGATGATCCATGTATTCCGTGGCAGTCCTCTCACTCTTGTAGCTGATCTTCTGAGATGCAGTGCGTGTTGTTGTATTTGAATCTGCTGCATTCTAGCCCGATGGCAAAACCACTTAATCTGCTGTTTCTCGATGAATCTAGTACAAGGTGTCGTTTTATATGATATGATTGTATGATAGCACAATTCTCCGCCCCATCTCGGATGGTTGAGCTGTCGGTTTTTCTATGGCATCTCATCTTGCAAGTAAAGATTTTGCGCACATGGGCTTTAGATTGTGTCGATATTTGGCACTGGTTGGAGTCAATGTGTTGCTTTTAATCTGTCTCTCTGCGCCAATAGTTATGCTTTGATGTCCTATTATGGGGACAATTGGTGCATAAGTGCTCATGCCTTTTGACATCTGGTTTTTACTTCTCTGTCAATTATAATATCATCGGTGACTATACTTCCTAGATATTAAAATTCCCTAACCTGATTCAGACCAGTACCATTCAGCTGTATGTGTAGCAGGAAAAATGTTCTACTGACTTAAACAATTCAAGTCAGTAGAACATTTTTCCTGCTACACATACAGCTGAATGGTACTGGTCTGAATTAGGTTAGGGAATTTTAATATCTAGGAAGTATAGTCACCGATGATATTATAATTGACAGAGAAATAAAAACCAGATGTCAAAAGGCATGAGCACTTATGCACCAATTGTCCCCATAATAGGACATCAAAGCATAACTAATGGCGCAGAGAGACAGATTTTTGTTTGTATTTGTTGTATTCACTGCGTGCTGAGTTTAATCTGCTGATCTTGCGGTCTATCTTTTTCAGTATAGCACATCCACTGGTGGTCAGCAAATAGTAGTTCGTTTAATGCTGGTTAGTCCATTGCCTTGTCTTATGTGTGAACTTCTTCATTATTATAATGATCTTTGTTGTCTGTATTAGAACTTGCTGTTTTCGGTTTTAGATATTTAATCTGTTAAAATGTAAAATTAAAGTGGGGAGAGCCCACATCACTGTCTCACACCTGCGTTGACTGTGTATATATATATATATATATATATATATATATATATATATATATATATATATATATATATATATATATATATATATATGATATGTCTTCTTGTGTTCTCACACCTGCGTTGACTGTGAACACATACGATATGTCTTCTTGTGTTCTCATAACTACTTCTTTGAATGTGAACGAAAATGATATGTCTTCTTGTGTTCTCACACCTGCGTTGACGGTAAACATATACGATATGTCTTCTTGTGGTCACACACCTGCGTTGACTGTGAATATATACGATATGTCTTCTTGTGTTCTCACACTTGCGTTGACTGTGAAAATATATGATATGCTTTCTTGTGTTCTTACAGCACTTTGGATTGTGTGGTACATGGCTATGTTGCAACTCGTAGTTTTCAAGAACATATTACAGTGTGTTGTCATCCACTCTATGGAAAACCTTTTCCTCATCTACAAACACAATATTCTGCTGGGTATATAGTCTCTGGTAAAGCGTTTATATGGATACACAATATTGTATGCGTGTGGTGTTTGTGTATGTGTACGTGTGTGTGTGAAATACTTTTACCGAGTGCTAAATGTAACTGGTGACATTTGTTACCATGTGAATTAGTATTGTTTGTGGTAAATACACATTTATTTGTTTGTCTGTGTTGAGATATTACGGGTATATGTGCACAACTATAGAAAATAAATAAAACTCATAACATTCTATAACATTTCTACACTACTAAGTTTATAAATAACTATATTGATTTAGTGACAGCAATAACAGAGATATTGTATTTTCTTAAACTAAAAATGCTAGTTATAATGACGAATCAGTTTGGAGTAGAAACATGGAAGACAACTAAAACTCTGCTTATATACTGAAAAATTTGCTCTCCTTCGATCTTCGTCCCCATATTATGGCGGCCAAACAAATACACTCAGTCGTGTTTAAATTGCGGAGTTCCTGCCGAAGAACAAATCGCGGAAAAAAACTAGGATTGCCTCCGAAAAACTGGCCAATATTATTGAGGGCAAACAAATACTCCAACAGGGTCTCATGGATAATTTAATTGAGAACCTATTTCTGGCGACATAACCGCACAGCGACAGTGTGCATCGCTACGCGCGGCGCGGATGGGAGAGGGGGAATGGGCTAAACTAGATGGCTGGGACTCACGAGCAAATAAATTGGAGAAAGTTGCAGGAGATGCGGTAGCTGCTGCTCGCCAGTCCCAGTCAGTTAGTTTAGCCCCCCCCCCCCCCCCCCCCCTCCTTCCACAACATCTACGCCGCGCGTAGCGGTGCAGGGGATACGCTCGGCGGTGAGTTTAATGGGAAGAACACTATCGCTAACCTGCGTTGGGGCGCGTGGTCTCCCCGCCATGTCGCTAATATCGTGAGTATTGTTGCGTTTCTCGAAATTGTCAACAGACAGTAATCCTAGTTTTGAGCTGTTTGGGTATTTGCTTGGCATCCATAATAAGGGGACGAAGATCGAAGGAGAGCCGAACAATTCATTAACTGATTTCTGTCCATAACAACAGGAATATGATAGAATCAATTAATGTGGGCCTTGGAAAATAACTAAAACAAATTTCTTTGAACCAAGAGTTGATGAAAAGATGCTGCTTTTGGACAGGACACACGTGGAGAAAATTGGAGAACAAAATAAATGTATCTTTGACTCGGAAACTTACAGGGCTTTATAAATAACGCAAACCAAGAACACACAGAGACGGAAACTACAGAGTGAAGCTTAAAGGATTGGGAGGACATGACATAACACTGGTAGCTGGTCGTCATACGCCCCTCTCAAAGAGTAGCAACCTCGTAGCAGCCTCGTGGAAAGGGAGGCCTTTAGCAAAGATTTTTAGGGCTAAACACGAATTATAGTTTCTCTGAAAGCGATATCAAAAAGGGTATTGAATAATAAAAGTAATAAAAAAAACTTACATCTGAAAATGAATTTTGAAGATGAGTGTTTCGACCTGAGGAGGTATCGTAAAAGTAGATGATAGCTTTCTCCTTGGGTGTGATGTAGAATTCGAAGTTCTGTTCGTTCAAGGCTATGACATTTCCAGACAGGAAGCTGCTGTCGGCCATCATGGACTCGCGAGGGTTGCGACCCATCGGTGCGACTCTGGGAACAGTAGCATCGTCGCGTACGGGCAGTGTATTGTACACTCCCCTTGCACGTGGGATCGGTTTTTCTTTAGGTGGTCCCTTTCGAGGAGGTAATTCAGGAGTTTTTTCACCCCCAGGTGAGTGGGGTGTTCCTGGGTATGCTCTAGGTGTAGTTGGAATCGGTGGCGGAGATCGTCTTGAGGACGAGGAATAATAAGAATGAATCGAGCCTGCGTCTGAGCTATCCATGTCTCTCCTCATCGACCGTTCTGCTTCACCATCGTAGGAAAAGTGGCCGGACTGTCTGGAAGTGTTGCTACGCGAATCCATTGTCGGTGGTGATAATTTGAGCTATGAGAAGATCTGAAACATACGGTTTTCAGTTAGGCCGTACTGAATCAATAGCATGCGTGGTAATAGTTTAGTTTTTGAAGGGGTCGTGGAAATCTCAGCATCTGTAGAATGTTCTAGAGCCCTTGGCGTTGATAGGACCTAAGATTTGTTGTTTAGGTGCGCACTGTTTATGTGAGTTGAAAACAGATGCAATATTATAATTGAAACAAAAGGGAATGTACGAACATTCATTACACAGAGCACGTCTGTCGATTTTTAGAGGGACAAAAACAAGAGGGGGGTGAGTGGGGGGGGGGGGGGACTTAGCCACCACATTAACATTTTCTAGATCACCCTCCCCCACCAACCCCCACCTGACCCCGCTAGTATCTCCCCCTCCCTCTCTCGTTCACCTCAGGAAAAAAAATAATGTGTGGTTGGGCCTAAGCCTCTATGTTGCGGCTCCCTTTCCTGTCATTCCTTTTGACTACACATGGACTTTACTCCCCATCGCATGTAGTCTCTGGCAAGAACCCAACTCTCGGGTTCAACTCTCTGTGTAGTCATAGTGGATCAGCTGATTACTCGGATGTCACGAACATAGAATTCATGATTCACTCTGATGCGTATAAATCAATGAACAAAAACATGATTCTCTGATTCCCATTCCTTTTTATATTTTTGATTCCTTTTAGTTGTCCCCTTTTCCACGTTGACCGTGTCAATAGTTTAATGAAACTCTTGTTTTGTCCGTTGATATCGGCTGTGGTCAAAATGTTCTGTGACATTTGTCCACGTCAGGTCGTTTCTCTCCGTAAATGTTAAAGGATCTCTTTTTCACTCCTTAAAGCGTGTTTGGCATATTGAACTCAGTGGGTTATGTTGTTGTCATGAGGCATGCAGCCTTTACCTTCCATCACTTTACCTGGTAATAATTTAAGACTGGGAGGACCTGAAAGCCGTTTATTGCATTTAGAAAAAAAAAAAAAAAAAAAAAAAAGAAAGGAAAAGAATTTTAAAAAAGTCTAAGTCGTTTCGGATTTGACCTAACGACCTTCGGATCACCCAGCGACGGTCTATATGTTACACCAAGGCCCTTCCTTTTAGTCATAGACTGTCCTCTGTTTCTTTGCTCGCATTTGGGAGCAGGGCACACTGTTCTAGCTCCAGAAGCATGCTCTGCAAGTTGGTTGCAATGACAACATTGACTCTACTATTCGCCAGCAATCGGAAAGCTGCCATGACCGCATCCACCTGTATTCCCTTGTCGAATGATGTGACTATACGCCAGATTTTCATGTTAAACAATGTGTACACTACAATATACGAGCAAAAGGAGTTAGCGCGGGAAGCTGTAGATTCGGTAAGAAAGGATCTAGGGAAGGTAGAGTACCTCCTGTGTACAACTAGCGTGCTTACTGGAGCAGTCAGTATTTAAACACAACAGTTCAACAAGTGATTCATGACGATTCTCGCTCAAGTAATGTGATTATCTATACAGATGGCTCGTGTTGAGGGGCAGACAAAGTACACGGGGGTACAGCTGTCGTCCCTTAGTTGCTGTCACCATCTTGACAAGGTCTTTGCAAAGTTCTCTGTATTTTCTCAATATCTGTATCGCCGTGTGAGATGTTCCAGACCGGCCTTCTGTTGACTCTGTGAGACTAGCTCTGTTCTAGGTGGATTCCTTTTCTACCTGTGTCTGACTATGACTGTCTGATAGAACCTGAATGCCGTTGAACTGCGATGTCTAGGCGTCTAGCGGCACAAGGCACAAGAAGCTATCAGACAGCTGATGACAGACATTACACATTAAAGACTCGAAGAAGATGGACGACTTACCTTGTTTATGGCAAGCAGACTGCTATAATGTGATAGAGGTGGGAGAAGGGATGTGTGCAACTGTTGAGGACGCAGAACCCCGAGACCAGGGACAGGCCGATAAATGGCCTTCCGATGGTGTTTCGCTACACAATGCTCGCAACTTTATGACGTAGCAGGGCTACCGCATATCTGGGTGCTTACACCGTGCGCATACCAAGACAAAGGGTGTGCACACTGCCGCGGCAAGCCATCATCATCACTGAGTTATGAGGTGTGATTTAGCTGATCTTCACGGCACTCCGGACACGTTCATAAGTGTTCAGATTTCCCTTTCAACATTCCTTTTTTTCTCGCTGTTGACAGTCCCAGTCCTATGTTGGTTGAGAAGACTTGTGCGTCTGGTGTGCTTCTCGTGCCTGGCTGTGCATATCTTCACTCCAAGTTCCTGCACTCCTAGCAAAGATGAGGATTTGCTGCTCTCAAAACATGCCGAGTGTCCTGCGTCCCTAGTGGCATTACCAATGTCTGCATGAGACATGGGCCGGCCCTGCGTAACTAAGGCAGAGCTCATCTGTCGGCTCTTTTATTGCCAAGTGCGCCCGCATTCCCTGAAACAAAGATGAAGTTTTACAATGACTCGATCCACTGTCTGTGTACAAAGCCCGACTCGACACGCCGGATCATGCTCAAGGAATCACTCCCGACACACACGTGAGGATAGCCCTACGATGCTAGCCACATGAAAGCTCATGTTACCGCCATCACCTTCATTTCCATGCTGCTGTTACTTATATAGAAGGTGCCACTGGCCTCCAGGACTGTTCTGCCTGCAGAGCACGCAGTAAATGCCCATCTGCGTAAATCTGTACGTCCACCTCATTTGAATTGTTATCATGTAAGCATGTCGGCTCTCTGCATTGACAGAAACTGGATTCTGCTTCCGATATCTCCTATCAACCGTAGAAACACAGAAAAAGGCGCAGGTGAGCGCCTGGTGCACAGGTATCCAGACCTCGCCGAGGTTGATGTCTGTAAGAATGCAGACCTGTATGATATTATTGTTCTCTGCCCTAACGAGCTATGATTTGCCCCTTTCTTAGATTGCTGCAATTTTTTTTTCTAAAGAGAACATTGAGCGGAGCTTGCTTCAAGACCGAGTGCTCCAGATCTTCATCCTATGGTGCATTGTCATCATCGTTATTTACAATATCCACTTGTTTCGTTTAACAACACGGGATGGAACAGTTTGCGATCAATTGCTTGATGGGCAGGCAGCAATGGCTATTGTCATTACGTGTCGATGAAGATGGTCTTCAATGTCATCAGTATATCTCCTAGGGCGACCCCTGCCTTTCACTTGTTATCATTTCTGGTGTAGTGCCTGTGTCAGTTATTATTGTGCTTGAAGTCTCACTAGACTACCAGACCATCTGATCCTATCTTTCTCAATGGATTTGCTGCCTGGTGCTGCTGCTCACACAATCTGTCTAACAGTATCATTTCTCACTCGTTTCAGATGATTGAATTAGGTTTTCCTGTGGCTTCTCGTTCAACAGGTGGTAATTTTACCCAGTTAGTCTTTGCAAAGCCCAAAGTCGTTCTCGCCACACCATGTTGGTGTGAACACGCGTTTCATAATCTTGACAGTCTTTCGAACGGTTGGGTGGACGCATAAATAAGCAATCACACAGTTACTGGTGTCATCGTCGCTGGAACTCTTTGTTTGCTGCTGAAGATAGTGATGTCCTGGGTGCTGAGATGTTGATTCTCAATTCACAATTCAACGTATGATTGGACGCCTTTTCAACGGCGTCAGTTAGTATGAGAGCAGTAGCTCGGTGGTATCTTGCTTCTATTCCCCGATGCATTTTACTCTACTCCTAAATGTTCCGTGAAGAGTCAACGGTAACAACTAAAACATCAAATGTGAACAGAAAGCTCAATGGAAAGAATGTAAAATGTGCACACAGTTATAAACGAATGTTGTCGACCAGTCGTCATCAACAGAGCAATATCTACAGAATAAATCGTTACTGACAGACTTAAGGGACTAGACTAAGGAGCATGTAAACGTCCGAAGTCAACAGGTAAAACACCATTTTGGAGTTTATATTACGTACCGAAATATTTAAAACGGAGTTTCAAAGCATAAGAAAAATATAAACAAGCAGAATAAATAAAGTAATATTAAAAAAAAAAAAAAAAAAAAAAAAAAGATGTGTGCAGTATATTGATTCTTTCAAACTCACGCCTTTAAAAGAAAAGATGTTCTATGAAGTAGCGGCTATTTTGATCACCGAGGCAAGATTTCATAGCAGTAACTAAGATACCACTTTCGTCTTGGCACTCAGAACTATTAAAATCGAGTTACAATGGTTTAGGAGTGTAATTGGTAATATCACTGAGATGTTAACGGACGGGATTTGCTAGGAAAGCAAGAACATCCTCTGCAAATGTCAATATTCTGCCAGCTTCAAGTTCTGCAATATTGCACATTGGAGATTAATGGTAATTTCGCAGTACCATGGAGAAGCCCCAGGCAGATATTACGTTGTTCTGATCTCATGTAGGCATGCAAAGGGCAACCATTTGTGCATGCAGGACAGCTGCTATTCCCTCACCGACCAAGGACACAGACCCTTCTCCATGAGCGCAGATATCAAAATGCCATTTCTGGTTCTACTGTTGGCATCCTCGAGATCAAGTGCTGCAACTACCGTCCCCTGCCTATTCTGGAAGTCCACATACAAATCAAAAACAATTTGGCTAAATCTGACCAGGTATTTAGGGATCTTCTCCTGGCCTGTAACTGCGCAAACCTTCTGGCAGAAGCTCTCCTCTTTCCAAAATCATGTGCAGTGTAACATCAATTATCTTCTCTTGTATCCAGACTAAAGTATTTTGTACGGTGACAGTTTTCATATGATAGATGAGATTCAACAAGAAATGTCAGAGCTACTAAATAACCTTCCAGGCGAATATTCAGACATCAATTAAAAGTGGACTTGTTTTAGGACGGCTATGCTCAACACACTTTAAACCAAATGCGGCGTCAGAAGAATAGGTGGTATAAAACGTTTAAGAATTATTTGGTGGAACAACGAAGTTAAAGACAGCGTATCCAGAAAGAAGGAGGCATATAAAAAATGGATAAAATCAAAATCACATCAAAATTATGTACATTACAGATTAGTAAGAAAAGAAGCAAAACATCTAAAGACGAGTCTAGGAGAAATTATGGTGAACAGATGGCTACCCTCAGCAAGAACTCCAATACAGAATTCTATAAACATGTAAAAATCATGAGAGAAAAAGACATAAGCTACAACCCAACAACTATCATCAACAACAAGAGAGGCATACCTCTATTTAGTCCACAACAGAGGTTGGCAAGATGGGCAGAGTATTTTCAAGAACTTCACAACCCCACAGGCAACGTAGATAATGTTAACTGTGTACCTCAAAGCTGCGAACAAGAGGAACCAAAATTTATAGCAGCGGAAGTAAGAGCAGTAATACAGAACAGCCCCAGAAACAAGGCACCAGGTCTGGATGGAACTAATACAGAAGGGATACAAGCCTGCGGAGAAGTGGGTGTTAAATGGCTTACTAGAATGTTTAATATAGTTTAGGAAGAAAAAAAGGTCCCAGCTGAGTAAGTAAAGTAAAGATCCCTTTTCACGCCTTCGGCGAATCGGGCATATGGGCAGAGCGTCCCATATTTTTACAGACCATCAGCACTCTATGGGTAATGTGGTCAGCATTACGCCGGCTGTGTTTACTTTCCCAGGACAGCCCATCCAGCTGAGTGGCAACAGGAATTAATAGTACCGACATGGAAAAAAAAAGGTAATAGGAGAGAATTTGAAGCATACAGAGGTATATCACTACTGAGTCACGTAGGAAAAATGTACTCCAAATTACAAGAACAGAGAGTTAGACCCATAGCAGAACAACAGCTGAGTGCATCACAATTCGGTTTCAGAAAAGGCAGAGGATGCACAGATGTATTATTCACTCTAAGGCAAGTGTGTGAGAAAGCCATTGAGTCTAATACCAAACAGAAAATTGTGTTTATAGATCAGTAAAAGGATTTTGATAGAGTGGAAAGAAACAAACTGTGGTTTGTTCTTGAGAACAACGGGGTACAAGAACAGTTACTAGAGAACATCATAGCCATGTACCACACAAGCCAAAGTGCAGTAAAAACACAAGAAGGCATATCAGATATGTTTACAGTCAACACAGGTGTGAGACAGGGATGTGTGCTCTCCCCACTCATATTTAACATCTATATAGACAGAATTTCTAAAGAAGCAAGTTATGATACAGACAACATAGGCCTTTATAATCACGAGGAAGTACATACATCAGGAGAAGTAATCGATTCACCCACATTAAACGAACTACTGTTTGCTGACGACCAGACTGCAAGACCACATTAACAGGCTAAACTCAGCATGTAGTAAATTTGTGGTCTTGTTTTTGGCGCCACTTTCGTGGCTAAGGTTCTGGTATTTGCGCCGTCTTTTGGCCTAATGCTTCTTTCCTTCATGTCAGATAGCCATCATTTATAGTTGTAAAATTGTGAGTATTTTACTTTGCCGAAAAGTACTAAAAACAATTTTTGGGTTTAGATAGATGTAAAATGTGAAAATATTCCGGATGTGGCCATAGTGGTCTTACAGTTGCTTCCTGCTATAAGAACGGGTTGATCATGCCCTGGAGATGTCTGTGGAATGTTGGGTTGAGCCTGACCATGATTCTATTCGTCATTTGCTATAGTGTGGTCTGATTGTGTCTGTTTGAATCGGTAGCTAGGCTCCGGTGTACGTAAATATCAGAACACTAAAATTCGTATCACGTTACCAGTCTTTACCATCGTACCATTTGGGAAAGGGGGAGGGGGAATAGGGTTTGGAATTGGTGGTTAAGTGCTCTGGTCCTGTCAGTATCAATACATTTGTCTTCCCTATTTGCTGTCAGTCCTATCCTATTGTGAGTCCCAATAGTCATGTTTATGTTGGAAGCATGATTTTGAATAAGAGTATTATAAGTATGACTTCCCGGCGTTTATTGGATGTACACTATCAAGTGTATGCATACATACACCCGAGCATTCAGACACTCACACAACATAACATGGTTGCACTCCCTTTCACAGATATCAATGCATGCATAATCACACAGAAACATACCTATTTGAAATTTCCTACACTCGAGTTGTCTTTCATACCTTCCCATCAATGTAATCATTTTAACAATTACGCTCATCTAAACATGTTTTTCTACTTGTAGAAGCATATACACTTCCACATTCATATACATGTCTGCATCTGTTTAATACTAACTAAAGTGTTGCTCACACAGACTGTGCCACTATTGTTACGATTATCTTATATGTCCTGTGGTGACATTAGTGTGTCAATATTGTCTGTAATAGTGGGGCTGCGTTAGCGCAGTCGATAAGAGGCTCGCTTTCAAATCCAGCTACGACTCGCTGCAGCCCACGGTTGGTGTTCGGAACCGGGCGGCTCCCGGGGTTCACCCAGCCTCTAGGAAATGGGTACCAGAGTTGACACTCTGAGGTAAATGGAGGAACGTTTCTGTAGCTACAGAGTTACGTGCCAACGGCGACACAGGCGGACAGTTTCTTATCAGTTGTCCATACTGGTGGCAGAGCACTTATGGTTCATAGCTGTGTCCAATGACGCTGGTTCAAATATCCCGACTTTACCTTCTTTATTGTCTGTAATATAGTCAGCTCGTGCCAAGTATTTGGTTATGTCTAGCACCTAACTTTTGACCTCTCCGTTGTGTTACCAGCACGTTCCGATGAGTTATGTGGATGGTGAGTAATGATCCGTTCTAGCTTGAGTACCTTCCTCCTCATATTGATTCTCCCTTTTTATAGGTTCATACAATTTCAAACGTATTTTTGCACCGGTTATTTCTGTAGTCACATGACTCACTTAAAAAACGCGCCTCGTATTTATATGGTATGAGAGGCAAATTCTGTGAAGACACTGCACAGATAATGCTGAGTGAACAAAATTAGACAAGAAGAATTTAAACATATACATACCAATGAAATCAAACAAACACGTCCCTCTGGTATAAACGTTTCTCTATTGCTTCTTTTGTGAGCATTTACAGTGTGTTTATCGTGCATCATCAGTATGTGTCAGGGACTGGCTTGTCCTTTGCTTTTGTTTTGCTGTTTGCTTCATTCAACAGGCTGCACACAGAAAATCTGGAAGGTTCCAAATGCTTTGTTGATGCTCTTCAGGTTGTTGCCACAATTGTTCACCTACAGAACTCGCAAGGCGGATTCGGCGTTACCTGTAATACTCGGATTGCTGCTTGTAATAGTAGATTTGTTGTTTCTTGCGAGCAGCTTCTTCAACGAAATCCTTACCCTCTTGATCACGGGGCTTCTTGAGCTCTGGGGCCCATGTTATAAACTTTTGCAAGGCGTCCACGCCGAAGGATTCTGGTCTGTGTATAGTGCTCACGTCGAAGCCGTTGGAGAAGAGCTTGATTATTGGTGTCTCTGTTATCTGGTAGTGATTGCAGACTCCGGTCTCAAAGGCACAGTCGATGGCACCAAAAAGAAACAATTCATGATGTAGTGTATCTGCGGCCTGGCCAAAGAAATTAACAAATATATTTTTACAATGCAAGAAAATGAAAGCATTTAATTTGTAATATTGCCTTTGAGTTATGTTGAGTTAGGAAACAATATTATGTAACACGTTCCATTTGTCTCCTCCATATTTTCAGTACTTGGCGTACAGTTATATTTCTGACATCTCAAGAAAATAAGTTGGCGTCTGTGGCTTTAGCGTTGTTAACTCGCTTTGTAATGCCGGGGTGTCGGGTTCGATCCGAGCTGTTGGCCTTGACTTTGCGTTGGTTCCGACAGTGGTATTGAGAAGCCGACCGTGCAGTGAGCATTGGCAAATTACTGGATATGCATCTGCCTAGAAAAACGACAACAGCTGAAAATGTTGGGTGCTGGTTCTGCAACGGCATGTAAAGGATAAGCAGTTAACACACACACACACACACACACACACACACACACACAAAATAACATAAAGTAACGCGCATGCGCATTGGGCAACATTTATCTAACACCAGAGATCGGGTGGGAGATGGACGTGGCTGAAAATAGCTTCGAATGACAAGACATGGCTGCAGAAAGGTCACAGGTTAAAGGTTAAGGTGGAGAGGATCGACTTCATTCAATCGGATTGGACCTATGAGAAACTCATCTGAATATATACAATCTCAAAAGCGAGAGGGATGGCGTGTTCTATTGACAAATCACAGCTTTAAGCCACGAGATACACTACTGAGTCAGTTGCCTGGCGCTGAACGAATTGATGGGGTTACATTGTTTAAACACGGGGGAGAAGGATGAGTCAGGAGAGCTAGGCATGCGTCAGCATGAGAATGGAGGCAGAGGCGATGGTTGGAGAAGATTTCAACCACAGAGACTGCTATAGTATCGGATTCGCAGAGCGTGCTCAATAAGGTGGGAATCGCTGTTTCTTGGTATGAAATCAGGGGCCTAGTTAGCGCAGTCGATAAGCGGCTCGCTTTCAAATCCAGCTGCGACTCGCTGCAGCCCCCGGTCGGTGTTCGAAACCGGGCGGTTCCCGGGGCTCACCCAGCTCCTAGGAAATGGGTACCAGAGTTAACACGCTTAGGTAAATGGAGGATCGTCGCTGTAGCTACAGAGATACGTTCGAATGGCGACACAGGCGGACAATTCTTATCAGCTGTTTGTACTGGTGATGCCAACAGTTATCCAGAGATTATTTTCCTTTGCAGTCCCTGTTCATTTGTGAGACTTCGAGGTCCCATCTTGTAGAAAGCTAAACATCTTAGAGGTTTTATAACTGAATTTGAACTACCATTGATAACTGACGGCTGTCATTTAAACTGATTAGTGCTGATTAGTCAATCAATAAGAACAAATCCTCTGAGAATGTCGACATTACTGAACTAGTGTTTATGGCAGAATAAAGAAGAAATGAGATCACAATTTGCTGCCTTTAAAGTAACATGCTAAATTGACACGGTCTAGTGCTGCCGTTGTGTTCGGCCTGTTCTGTGCACCTTAGCACATGTCAGACTTCTGCATCTTTTTCTTCCCGTTCACCGGTTGTAAACTCCTGCAGAAGATTCTAGTTGTTTATCAATTACTAGACTGTTGACTTGTTCCAAAGAATGCGTTTTGCGTGCACCTCTGCCTTATCGTTTTAAAAAAATGTGTATGCAGACCGTAGGTCTACTGGGGCCAGTAGGTCTAAGAATACCAAATGCCACATTTCAAATTTGTTACATGTTTACCTCTGTCTTCATCATTGAATGTGTCACATGTCAGCTTCTGTCTTCATCATTAAATGTGTTACATGTCACGCCACTGTCTTCATCATTGAATGTGTTACATGTTCTAACATTGTCTTCATCATTAAATGTGTTACATGTCACGCCTCTGTCTTCATCATTGAATGTGTCACATGTCAGCTTCTGTCTTCATCATTGAATGTGTTACATGTCAGCTTCTGTCTTCATCATTGAATGTGTTACATGTCAGCTTCTGTCTTCATCATTGAATGTGTTACATGTCAGCTTCTGTCTTCATCATTGAATGTGTTACATGTCATCATTGAATGTGTTACATGTCAGCTTCTGTCTTCATCATTGAATGTGTTACATGTCAGCTTCTGTCTTCATCATTGAATGTGTTACATGTCAGCTTCTGTCTTCATCATTGAATGTGTTACATGTCAGCTTCTGTCTTCATCATTGAATGTGTTACATGTCAGCTTCTGTCTTCATCATTGAATGTGTTACATGTCAGCTTCTGTCTTCATCATTGAATGTGTTACATGTCAGCTTCTGTCTACATCATTGTATGTGTTACATGTCAGCATGTCAGCTTCTGTCTTCATCATTGAATGTGTTACATGTCAGCTTCTGTCTTCATCATTGAATGTGTTACATGTCAGCTTCTGTCTTCATCATTGAATGTGTTACATGTCAGCTTCTGTCTTCATCATTTAATGTGTTACATGTCAGCTTCTGTCTTCATCATTTAATGTGTTACATGTCAGCTTCTGTCTTCATCATTAAATGTGTTACATGTCAGCTTCTGTCTTCATCATTTAATGTGTTACATGTCAGCTTCTGTCTTCATCATTGAATGTGTTACATGTCAGTTACATGCATGTCAGCTTCTGTCTTCATCATTGAATGTGTTACATGTCACGCCTCTGTCTTCATCATTTAATGTGTTACATGTCAGCTTCTGTCTTCATCATTGAATGTGTTACATGTCAGCTTCTGTCTTCATCATTGAATGTGTTACATGTCAGCTTCTGTCTTCATCATTGAATGTGTTACATGTCAGCTTCTGTCTTCATCATTGAATGTGTTACATGTCAGCTTCTGTCTTCATCATTGAATGTGTTACATGTCAGCTTCTGTCTTCATCATTGTCCACTAATCTGTCTTCATCATTAAATGTGTTACATGTCAGCTTCTGTCTTCATCATTGAATGTGTTACATGTCAGCTTCTGTCTTCATCATTGAATGTGTTACATGTCAGCTTCTGTCTTCATCATTGAATGTGTTACATGTCAGCTTCTGTCTTCATCATTGAATGTGTTACATGTCAGCTTCTGTCTTCATCATTGAATGTGTTACATGTCAGCTTCTGTCTTCATCATTGAATGTGTTACATGTCAGCTTCTGTCTTCATCATTGAATGTGTTACATGTCAGCTTCTGTCTTCATCATTGAATGTGTTACATGTCAGCTTCTGTCTTCATCATTAAATGTGTTACATGTCAGCTTCTGTCTTCATCATTAAATGTGTTACATGTCAGCTTCTGTCTTCATCATTGAATGTGTTACATGTCAGCTTCTGTCTTCATCATTGAATGTGTTACATGTCACGCCTCTGTCTTCATCATTAAATGTGTTACATGTCACGCCTCTGTCTTCATCATTGAATGTGTTACATGTCACGCTTCTGTCTTCATCATTAAATGTGTTACATGTCAGCTTCTGTCTTCATCATTGAATGTGTTACATGTCATGTCAATGTGTTACATGTCAGCTTCTGTCTTCATCATTGAATGTGTTACATGTCAGCTTCTGTCTTCATCATTAAATGTGTTACATGTCACGCCTCTGTCTTCATCATTGAATGTGTTACATGTCAGCTTCTGTCTTCATCATTGAATGTGTTACATGTCAGCTTCTGTCTTCATCATTAAATGTGTTACATGTCAGCTTCTGTCTTCATCATTGAATGTGTTACATGTCAGCTTCTGTCTTCATCATTGTGTTAATGTGTTCTGTCATGTCATGTCAGCTTCTGTCTTCATCATTAAATGTGTTACATGTCAAGCTTCTGTCTTCATCATTAAATGTGTTACATGTCACGCATCTGTCTTCATCATTGAATGTGTTACATGTCAGCTTCTGTCTTCATCATTAAATGTGTCATGTCATCATGTCTTCATGAATGTGTTACATGTCAGCTTCTGTCTTCATCATTAAATGTGTTACATGTCAGCTTCTGTCTTCATCATTTAAATGTGTTACATGTCACATGTCAGCTTCTGTCTTCATCATTGAATGTGTTACATGTCATCATTAAATGTGTTACTGTCAGTCTTCTTCATCATTAAATGTGTTACATGTCACGCTTCTGTCTTCATCATTAAATGTGTTACATGTCATCATGTGTTAAAGCTGTCTTCATCATTAAATGTCTGTCTTCATCATTAAATGTGTTACATGTCACGCCTCTGTCTTCATCATTAAATGTGTTACATGTCACGCCTCTGTCTTCATCATTAAATGTGTTACATGCCAAACCTCTATCTTCATCATTAAATGTGTTACATGTCACGCCTCTTTCTTCATCATTAAATGTGTTACATGTCACGTTTCTATCTTCATCATTAAATGTGTTACATGTCACGCCTCTGTCTTCATCATTGAATGTGTTACATCATTAAATGTGTTACATGTCACGCCTCTGTCTTCATCATTGAATGTGTTACATGTCACGCCTCTGTCTTCATCATTAAATGTGTTACATGTCACGCCTCTGTCTTCATCATTAAATGTGTTACATGTCACGCCTCTGTCTTCATCATTAAATGTGTTACATGTCAGCCTCTGTCTTCATCATTAAATGTGTTACATGTCACACCTCGCTATCATCATCATAAATGTGTTACATGTCACGCCTCTGTCTTCATCATTAAATGTGTTACAACCTGAGCTTTGCATCATTAAATGTTCATGTCTTTGTCTTCATTCTCTTTGTCTAAAAAAAAAAAAAAAAAAAAAAACAGTGACGATGACTAATAATGTTAAAATACTTACGGATACAAATGTCTTTTCGTTGCGATTGTTTCGATTTCCTCTGCTATTGTAAAAGTAGACAAGACCTTTCGCCATGGGTTGAATCTTTTGTTTAAAGTTTTCGTCAGTTATGTATACCACATTTCGTGACGGAAAGGTGAATTCTTCTTCTGGAGTAGGCGGGTGCCTAGGAAAGTTTTTTTCAGGCACGGGGGGTCGATAATGAAGGTCTTCTTCACTCTTAAACACCCGCCCCAATCTGGGCACTTCCGGTTTGTATTCACCAGGCGGATTTGGAGGAAAGAAGTGCTTTTGTTCAGGTCTAGGCATTTGGGTGCGTAAATTACTGACACCGGGACGTTGTGGTGTGGCTGTGGGAGGGAACATGTAAGGTGATATGCTCGTGGACAGAGAGTCCGGCCACTGCTCTCTGATCGCTGCTTCAGTGTCGGGACTCCACTCAAAGGAGCCGGGACTCCATTCAGAAAAGACGGAACTTCCTTCAGAAGAGTCGGCACTTCTCCACTGGGGAGAGCCGGGATTCCTCCATTCAGGAGAACTGGTACTACTTTGAGAAGAGCTGGGACTCCTCCATTCAGCAGAAGTGGGACTACGTTGAGGAGAGCTAGGACTCCTCCATTCAGGAGAAGTGGGACTACGTTGAACAGAGCTGGGACTCTCATATTGGTTTCTACGCGACATTTTCTGTGGCTTTTCTTTGAGCTAGTAAAAGATACAGAGACAACAGAATTTACTATGTAGTAGGGTGACAGTATCATGCATTGTTAAATTATGCAGTAAGTAGTAGGGCGACAGTATCATACATTGTTAAATCATGCAGCAGGTAGTAGGGTGACAGTATCATACATTGTTAAATCATGCAGTAAGTAGTACGTTGACAGTATCATACATTGTTAAATCATGCAGTAAGTAGTAGGATGAAAAAATCATACATTATTACATCATGCAGTAAGTAGTAGGATGAAAAAATCATACATTATTACATCATGCAGTAAGTATTAGGCTAGCAGTATCATACATTTTTACATCATGTAGTAAGCAGTAGGGCAACAATTATATACATTATTACATCATGCAGTAAGCGGTAGGGCGACAATTATATACATTATTACATCATGCAGTAAGTAGTAGTCTGACAGTATAATACATTATTACATCATGCAGTAAGTAGTAGGGTAACAATTATATACATTAATACATCATGCAGTAAGTAGTAGTCTAACATTAATATACAATTACATCAGGCAGTAAGTAGTAAGGCGACAATTAAATGCATTATTACATCATGCAGTAAGTAGTGGTCTGACAGTTTATACATTATTACATCAAGCAGTAAGTAGTAGGGTGACAATATTATACATTATTACATCAAGCAGTAAGTAGTAGGGTGACAATATTATATACATTATTACATCATGCAGTAAGCAGTAAAGCGACAATTATATACATTATTACATCATGCAGTAAGTAGTAGTGTGAGAGTATAATTCATTATTACATCATGCAGTAAGTAGTAGGGCGACAGTATCATACATTATTACATCAAGCAGTAAGTAGTAGGGTGACAATATTATACATTATTACATCAAGCAGTAAGTAGTAGGGTGACAATATTATACATTATTACATCATGCAGTAAGTAGTAGTCTGACAGTATTATACATTATTAAATCATGCAGTAAGTAGTATGTTGACAATATTATACATTATTACATCATGCAGTAAGTAGTAGGGTGACAATATTATACATTATTACATCAAGCAGTAAGTAGTAGGGTGACAATATTATACATTTTTACACTATGCCGTAAGTAGTAGTGTGACAATATTATACATTATTACATCAAGCAGTAAGTAGTAGGGTGACAATATTATTCATTATTACATCAAGCAGTAAGTAGTAGGGTGACAATATTATACATTATTACATCATGCAGTAAGTAGTAGGTTGACAATATTATACATTATTACATCAAGCAGTAAGTAGTAGGGTGACAAAATTATACATTTTTACACTATGCCGTAAGTAGTAGTGTGACAATATTATACATTATTACATCAAGCAGTAAGTAGTAGGGTGACAATATTATTCATTATTACATCAAGCAGTAAGTAGTAGGGTGACAATATTATACATTATTACATCATGCAGTAAGTAGTAGTCTGACAGTATTATACATTATTACATCAAGCAGTAAGTAGTAGTGTGACAATATTATACATTATTACATCATGCAGTAAGTAGTAGGGTAACAATATTGTACATTATTACATCATGCAGTAAGTAGTAGTGTAACAATATTATACATTATTACATCATGCAGTAAGTAGTACAGCGACACAAATAGTAATCCCATGTTTTCTTGCACTGTGATTTTTGTTGTTGCTGGTTAATGCTCCTCGGCATGTTGCAAACAGTGTGTTGGTAGTGTATTTTTAGCAACTTTGCCTAGCAACAGGAAGGCTATATAACGGCCGGCAACAAACTACCCAGGGCAGTCGGCGAATTCGTGGACGCTGTAGGCGACAGCTAAATGGTTGCTGAGACGTTTTAAACTAGAAATGAAGTCTAGAAACCACCGAACAACATATGTTTATATTCAAGTTAAAGTAGTACGTAACATGTCGGCTCTGTGGCTAAGTCGATGCGAACGCTTTGTAATTGCCGGGATGCTGGGTTCGATCCCAGCTGCGGACCATGCGCCTTGCGTTGGTTTCGACAGTGGTATCAAGAAAGCCGACCGTCCAGGAAGCAATGACAAACTACTAGACGTAAAGTTTGCCTACAAAAACCACACAATAGCCAGGGACTGTCAGGGTTGGTTCTGCAAAGTCCTGTAAAGGATACGCAACTAACCTTTGTACTGTAACGTAGAGTTACAGTAGTATGGAGCAGCATGCATCAGATGAAAATAAAGTGAAGTTGACGATTTTTGGATTATTTAAATTGTGTGTAATAATAGTGAAATTCTACTATTCAAGGAATCAGAGTCAGTGAGTAGTATTTGGTTAGATTTTATGATAAAGGATGAATTAACAATTCAAACTTTAATGATCATTTTAAATGCCTTTTATTGAGAGACGTGTCGGTAAGAGAGAAAGAGAGAGAGAGAGAGAGAGAGAGAGAGAGAGAAAGAGAGAGAGAGTAAGTTCCTGAGAGTCATGTAAGATAGGAGGAGAAGGCGAAAATTGGAAAACTCATGGCTAACGTGCTTTATCTATTGAGTCCTGGAGGTTAACAGACAATACTGCCACGTCATACAGCTTACATAATGTAACAATATCAGACATGAGTACAGTGTACATAATGTAACAATATCATACATGAGTACAGCGTACATAATGTAACAATGTCATACATGAGTACAGTGTACATAATGTAACAATATCAGACATAAGTACAGCGTACATAATTTAACAATGTCATACATGAGTACAGTGTTCATAATGTAACAATATCATACATGAGTACCATTTACAAAGGGCCACATGCTGAGACATATATCTTAGGATCAGGGTCGCTTATAGAATTCAGCGAGGGTGATCTGCCGATTTTCTGTGAAACTGATGTGTTTAAAACAAAAATGCGCAAACAAACACTACATGGTATATTTTATTACATAGCATATGTCCCTAGATTTATCATTTGAGGGTTAAATCAACATATAAAGAGGAACAATCATAAATCAATTAGGCCGAAGCCAAGAAACCACATTGTAGAGTTACTGTACCTCTATCCACCGGAAATTCAACTATTTAGGCAAACAATTGTTAAATGTATTTCTGTGTCCGCATTATTGAAAAAGATAATAGGTTGTATACTTTTTTGTGTGTCTATATTCGGATTATTTAAATTTACGTTGGGAAAACATTGTTTAGAATAACTAACTTCTGCCCGGTAGGTTGTTGGTGGATCAAGGCATGGTAGCAAAATTGACTCAAGCTGGGTCGATCCCGGGACAAACAAAAAAATCATTGTGGCAGGGTGTTTTAGGGGATCATAAAATATTCTAGGGTTGGTGGAAACTGCTAATTGTTTTTTTAGCATTGTTTAAGTGAGCAGTAATATTATTTATTAATAGAATATACATTATTTTTTTTTGGTCCGAAATAGCAAATACATGTATTGATCTGATTAAAATAACATGAAATGCGCGAATACCTAAAGTAAAACACAACGTCTTGGTCAACGGGTGACAGTTGCGCCGCCCACCCTGGGCTCCTACCCCCGCCTAAAGTTACCCCTCCCCCAAGCACATTATTGAGAACCACTAATCTCTGACAGACATAAGTACTAGGACTTGCAGCTACGCATAGATTTTAGCCTCCTTCTCATGCTGTCTTATGTAGACATATGCACTAGCAGTCTTGGGGACACATAGAAGTTTGCTCCCATCTCATGCTGTCTCATGTAGACATATGCACTAGCAGTGTTGGGTACACATAGAAGTTTGCTCCCATCTCATGCTGTCTCATGTAGACATATGCACTAGCAGTCTTGGGGACACATAGAAGTTTGCTCCCATCTCATGCTGTCTTATGTAGACATATGCACTAGCAGTGTTGGGTACACATAGAAGTTTGCTCCCATCTCATGCTGTCTCATGTAGACATATGTTCTAGCAGTCTTGGGTACACATAGAAGTTTGCTCCCATCTCATGCTGTCTCATGTAGACATATGCACTAGCAGTCTTGGGGACACATAGAAGTTTGCTCCCTCCTCATGCTGTCTCATGTAGACATATGCTCTAGCAGTCTTGGGTACACATAGAAGTTTGCTCCCATCTCATGCTGTCTCATGTAGACATATGCACTAGCAGTCTTGGGGACACATAGAAGTTTGCTCCCTTCTCATGCTGTCTCATGTAGACATATGTTCTAGCAGTCTTGGGTACACATAGAAGTTTGCTCCCATCTCATGCTGTCTCATGTAGACATATGTTCTAGCAGTCTTGGGTACACATAGAAGTTTGCTCCCATCTCATGCTGTCTCATGTAGACATATGCACTAGCAGTCTTGGGGACACATAGAAGTTTGCTCCCTCCTCATGCTGTCTCATGTAGACATATGCTCTAGCAGTCTTGGGTACACATAGAAGTTTGCTCCCATCTCATGCTGTCTCATGTAGACATATGCACTAGCAGTCTTGGGGACACATAGAAGTTTGCTCCCTTCTCATGCTGTCTCATGTAGACATATGTTCTAGCAGTCTTGGGTACACATAGAAGTTTGCTCCCTTCTCATGCTGTCTCATGTAGACATATGCTCTAGCAGTCTTGGGTACACATAGAAGTTTGCTCCCATCTCATGCTGTCTCTGGCCAGACTCCAACGTCCAGTGTTGCATATTTAGATTGACACTAGCATAGACAAAGCATCAGCTGTCAGTATGTGTGTGTTTGCGTGTGTGTGTGGGTGGGTGCGTGCGTGCGTGCGGAAGCAGCCAGAGGCATCCAGTTGAGGTTGGGGGCCGTTGCCCCCAACGCTTTTCTTTTTAGAACATGATCGCAGACAGTTCACGCATCCTAGATGGGTTCATGTGCAGTTTACGTGCAGACGCCAAATCGAGTCTCCGCTGTCCTGGTATGATAAACGCTGGAAACCTCACTACACAGTGCACCTACTCGCTATTCCGACGGGAACTTCCTGACCGCTACACGTTTGAAGAACGTTTTTAACG